GATTTCCAGGAAACGTTTGATGCACAGATGACACACAGATTGAGCTGTTTGGTCACAATGACAAGAAGTATGTTTGGAGGAGTTAAGCTTTCAAACCAAAGAACACTGTACGAGCTGTCAAGTAGCAGTGATAGCATTACCTGTTTTGCTTCTCCTGGTACTGGTACATTGCACAAACCAGATGAAATAATGAATGAGGTTTATTGTATCTCCAAATTCTTCAACTTCACCTTTAGTGAATAGCTAGACAGCTGAAACTTGGACACAATTGACTGCTCCAACAAGACAATGATCCCAAACACAAACTAAAACTGAATGGATAAGGCAGGCTTACATTACTTTCTGAAAGCCTTGTTCTTAATTCTATTGAAAATGTCTTACTTCAACCTTAATTCTACCAATTCTGCTAAGAAGAATGGTCAAATAAATGACCTGAAACCCTGCCTCTCTTCTCTACTCCCACTCATCTCTGCTATCATTCAACTTTAACAACCTCCTTCTAATCTAACCTCCATTTCTAAAATACTTGAAAAAACGGTGCAGCTCAACTGCTTTCACACCTGGTTAATAATAATATCTACAAGAGATTTCAATCTGGTTTTCACTCATGTCACAGTATAGAAACTTGTAGCACTTATGTGGGTTTATATACAGTACCAATGGATAATAACCAAGGTGATGAGTAATTTGGGCTGGTATCAGAAGAATAGGAAGGACTCTTGGAGCTCTGGTACATGAATGACAGAGAAACAAAACACAGTTGTGTGGCTTTCAAGTAACTTTAGTAATTTAAGCCATTTTAAGATTTTTTTCAAGAGATTTTTGTAACCAACACAGAATTACAACATATGTATAAAAATTTCCCCCCAAAGTAGCAAAAAAATAGAATAAAATAAAATTGTGCAGAAGTAAAGAATTAGTCTTTAAAGTCCAAATGGTACCGATGGGGCCCATGACAAATGGGTGCATTGCAACAGAGTCTGTCCAATGAGAAGTGCATGTGTGTGATTGTCTGTCCTACTGCACTACTTGTACAGCAGAGAATTGTAGTCCATCAATGTGCAAATGAGTGTGCGTGTAAATGTATATCGTCCCCTAGGATCTGGGATTGGCTCGCCATCCAGTGAAAACTGGAACACTCTGGGATCTGTAATTGCTGAACTGGTCCTTGGATTCGTCCCATATAAAAACCTGACCTATAAACAATGGTGAAATATATGTCACAACCAATTTAAGAATAACTCTCACAAATTACAATACTGTCACGCTGCAGTAACTACTGTTCAGATCAGCTATCATCAGTTCAATCATTATCAGTTCAGTCATGTTGTACAACATTAAAATATCAAGGTTCAAAGTTCACAGTATCAATTTTCAAAATTCACAGTTGTAACCTTCAGTAAGATTCAAGATTTTCCACAAGGCTTCAAATATTCAGGAACTATAGTCGCCACTTTTATGGTAAACATTCATCACATCCATCAGAAATAAACTCACTGTATATATAATCACAAATAAATAAATAAATATATTACTCCCTTGAGAAATGGAGCAATATGTAAATGCTTATCAGATCTGAACAAAATACAAATAATCAATTTCAATAACATGTAAACACAAGAACTCAGTCTGTAAATAGAGTATTAAAATAGATGTGCTTAATCCACCTTGTACCATAGGCCTTCTAGTATACGTGGAAATATACTAAAAATTACCTCAAAGTATTCAATACTGAGTGTAGTAAAATAACTTGTTTTTCCTTTTTGTTTAGGATGATTTCAGGAACTGGATTACAAACTCCGTTACTTAAAGTTACTAATAATCTTGTAATCGGAGCTGACTCTGGTCTTCTCAACATTCTCATCCTTTTGGATCTGAGCTCAGCCTTCGACACAAACTCTCACTACGTCCTTCTGAGCAGACTTTCCTCTCTTGGCATCTCTGACACACCCCTAGCCTGATTTCAGTCATATCTCCTTGACCGCTCCCAGTTTATTCAAATTAAATCATTCCATTCTCATCTATTGCCAGTCACATCTGGTGTACCCCAAGGGTTAGTCTTAGGCCCTCTTGTCTTCATAATATACATCCTCCCTCTTGGTACCATTTTCTGTAAATTTGATCTTCACTTTCACTGTTTTGCTGATGACACCCAGTTATATATCTCCTGCAGACCTGGTTCTTCCCTCCCAGCTTCTTCCCTTACAGAATGCTTAAAATCCTGATTCAGCTCTAATTTTCTTAAGCTTAATGAGGAAAAACTGAAATCCTCTTATTGGCACTAAATCCAACCTTTTGAAGGCAAATCATTTCTCACTCACTACTGATGACTCCAGAGGTTTTCCCTTCACCTCATGTTAAGAGCCTTGGTGTCATCCTGTCCTATAAATCTCACATCAATAATCTCAATCGTTCTGCCTATTTCCATCTACGCAACATCAGCAGATTACGTCCTTCTCTCTCCCACCAGTCTTTGTCCATTCTTGTCCATGGTCTCGTTACCTCCCGGCTTTGCTACTGTAATTCTCTCTTACATGGTCTCCTCCAAAAGTCCCTCCACAAGCTTTAACTGGTTCAAAACTCCACTGTCCGCATTATTACCAGAAACTCCTCGTACCAGCACATCACCCCTGTTCTTCAGGAACTTCACTGGCTCCCTGTGAAATTCTGGATAGTGTACAAACTTCTTCTGCTCACCCTCATAACCTTGCTCCTGCTTACCTTTCTGATCTGTTAAGCACTACCTCTTCTGCCTGCTCACTTCGATCCTCGTCTTCTATCCAGCTTGCTGTGCCTTCTTTCCGCCTCACGACCATGGGAAGCAGAGCTTGCAGCTGCTCTGCTCCCAGATATAAGAAACATTGGTTTAAATCTAAACTCAAAACCCATCTGTTCAAATCTGTATATTCACTGTGAATCAATTGTTTGCTAATTTTATATTGTGCTTTTGTTTTTATTGTTCTTCATTTGATCATCGTTCTGTTATTTGTTTTATTGTTGTTTATTTGTTGTTTGTTAAGTGTCCTTGGGTGTCTTGAAAGGCGCTTTATGAATAAAATGTATTATTATTAAATATCCACCTGGAATTATACCAGAAGATTCTTGATGGCTACCGATTAGAGAAAATACAAAATAATTTATTTTTTCTGTATAGTCATTTCAACCTGGAAAAATAACAGTCTACAGAAATAATAATAATAATAATAATAAAAAAAAAACGAAAGTCACTATGACATTTTTCCCTATGATAACTTTATGTAACATTTTGATCACAACTTTATATTGCCTATACTGGAGACCAGATGAGATGCAGTAGTCCAGTTCTCTCTTATACCAGGTTATTAGACTTTAATTTGTTTGTTTTTCACTCAATAAGCAGAAATACAAACACCAATATATGCACCAGACAACCTTTGGGGTTCACCAACATATTCTTTAATATGCAAACAAGTGCAAACAATTGAAAAGGTTAAGTTGTACACGTACTTCTCTTGTATTTAACAGAATCCCAATAAAAACAGGATTGGACAGTGGTTAAATGAAACATCCAATAATAAAATATTGCAGCTTTCATACTCCTTGAACTCTGAGGCCCATGAAGGAACGTACAAAATAATTGTCTCTGTGGGTGAAGATAAATTTGTTCACAAATTCAAGGTGGAAAAGTATGGTAAGTCAGGTCTTTAAAAAGATCTTTTGAAATTCTGTTTTTAAATATTCTTAATATAATGCAGATACTAACTTTGATATTTTGTCCCCAGTTTTACCCAAATTTGACGTAACAGTAAATGTATCTGAAGAAGTGAGTATTGGCCAGGAAGAAGTTGATATTAAATCATGTGCAAAGTAAGTAGGAGTCCTTTCTTGACAAATGGCAATTTAGATCCTCACAAATTGGAGTTTTTTTTAATTTTTGTTTTTATTTTAATAGGTACACATTTGGACAGCCTGTTCCAGGAAGTATTACAGTTACGATGTGCCGACTTCTTGAACGCTCTATTTCCTCTGCTAAGAAACACAAGACAGAGGCTCCCTGCCACACAGAGACCAAACGGGTACAGTTGTTCCAGTCTCAAATTTCTCCTGAAACAATGTGCAGATAAAAGCAGACCACATGCCCATGCAGAAGGTTTCTCTATGTCAGGAATTAATGCAGTACTTTATCATTATCTTATCTATCTCCAAATTTCGAGAATATAATGAGTAAAATTTCAAGTTGAACTTGAATTTCAATTAAATAATTTTTAGTGTCCTTAAAGCATTTATTTTTAATTCTGTATTATAAAATACCCGGTTACAGATTCAGTAATATTCACTGTTGTGCCCTCATTATTTATGAATGCTGAATTGTAGCTATCACTTTGACTCCATTTTTTTTCTGCTGTTATGAATATGTTCTGTGGCTCATGTGTGTCAGCTCTTAACAAGCTAACTGATTAAATAATGAGTTTAAGTCATTTATTCCATGAGTAACACTGGTAGAGCTACAACTGGCTTAAGCGACTGCAACAAAGTCCAAATTGTTGCAACCTGCTTAACCTCCTAGAACCTGGCGTCCACATATGTTGACATCAAATTTTGGGTTGTCTAGACCACAATACTAAAATTTGCTCCACACGAGCCTGATTTTCACTTACAACAACATTATACTGACACTGTTCTATTGAAATTAAAACGAATATCCTTATATGTGGATATCAGGCCCTTGTAGAGCAAAATCAGTATAAAGATAATTCTTTGTTTTTACATTCATCAGGTCCCAATCAGCCCAAATAGCAAAGACAAATTAAAAATGCATGCCATGAAAGACTTCGGGTCTTAGGAAATAAAAGTATGATGTAAGCCTTTTTAAAATTATTTATATTTTATTGTTTTGGAATTTCTAGGCTGATGGAACAGGCTGTGCAGCTGTTACGTTCAAGATGTCAACCTTCACCAAAATTAACAAAAAATTCCTTAAAGATAAGCTGAATGTCATTGCCAAAATGGAAGAGGAGGGAACAGGAAAGTCTTGCAGTTGTTATTTTTCATTTTATTTTAATTGTTACATTTTTTTAAAATTATAGGTTATTGTGCATTTGTGGAAATATGGCATGTGCATTGTTTTAACATTGAGGTTTCGTATTCAGGCATTTCACACAAACAAGAAATGAAAATAAGAATTTCTTTTGTCCTTGGAAAAGCATCTTTTGTTGATGTTCCCAAGATTTGGGAACCAGGATCAAATGTGGAGGGAAAAGTAAGTTCAAATTTGTGCTATGTAATTTAGAATGTAGTGTAAATAATGTGGGTTTTAGTAATGAAACATTGTGGTTTGAACAGGTTAAAGCAGTTTACTACAATGATACACCCATTTCCAAAGCACCTGTCTACCTGTTTGTGGGAGAACGTTGGTCAGAACGCTTACTAAAAAATCTAACAACTGACAGCAACGGTGTCGCTGAGTTTTCATTCAGCACAGATAACTTTCATGAGGATATTAAACTCCATGTAAGTAGATAATTACACTGAAACAGTAGTTTTTAAGTCAGCATTGGTAAGTTACATGACAATGTTTTCATTGACTTAATATGATTTCTGATGTCGCTTGTCCAAGGTGCTACAATAGTAATTAGTGACTATAGTGAAACTGTTAAGATTATTTTACATTAGCTTGCTTCTAAAACCCATCTTTCAGTGACCTTCCACAGTATTTTCTTCTTCATCAAATTATGTATGTTTCTTTTCTACAATTCAGGCAGCCCTGACACCAACCCTATACTTCCAAAGCCATAGAACTCCTTTTTATGATTTAGGATTTCACACAGTGTATACATCCCAACCTCCTTCTCAAGATGAAAAAACATTCAGCTCGCTGAAGCTGAAGATGAAGGATAAACCCCTTTCCTGCGATGCAGAAGAAGACATATCTATTCAGTACACTATAGTGAGGGAAACTGCAGTTTACATGGATGTGGTATATCTGGTGAGTTATTGCTTGTCACAAGTTCATCCACAGTAAAAAAAAGAAAAAAAAAGAAAGGGAAAAAAAAATTGAAAATCTACCAGTTTATCGAATGAAACAGAAAGAGTTTATTAATATATTCACCTCAGAGAAAGTGGTTTGTAAATGCTGAAGAAAAAGCAACACATCATCTGCATAAAGACTAATTTTATGTTCTACATTCTTGCATTTTATTCCCTTAATTGCTATAGCCAGATTGCTGCTGCTAGTTTGATTAAAAAAAAAATGCAAACAATGAAGGGGAGAAGGGGCATCTGAGCCTTTTGCCCCACTGGAGACAGAAGCTGGAGGATGTTCGGTCATTTGTCCAAAGTCCAGTCAATTTTCAAAATACAAGACCACAAGCAGACTGCACTGTCTGTTTCTGAATAACTCCCGGCAGGACTTAAAGCTGGGAGAGACGCAAAATGCACAATGTTACAGCTGGATTACACATTTTGTGTCATTTTCTTCTATATTCTTCAGGTGTTGTCCAGAGGAGCCATTGTCATGCAAGGATTTAAACAGATTAAATTTAAAGATCAGTCAGGTATGTAAAGACTGGCTCAAATCATGAGTTCATGAAATTCTTTTGTAATATCAGGTATTAAATCCAGTTACCTTTTTAAAAAAAGTTTGGTGATTATTAAAATAAAACTGATATTATAGCTATTTTTGGTATGCTTGTTTGTTTCAGTGAATGAGGGTGAGGTGTCCTTTAAATTGAGAATTTCTACTGACATGGCACCAGTCGTCCAGATTGTAGCATATGCTGTACTTTCCAGTACGAATGTGATTGCCCACAGCGCTGACTTCTCTACTGAGAAATGCTTCAGTCACAAGGTATGTGTTGGTGTAAACTGTGTGCAGCTGTACTAGATATATTGATTAGTGTAAGTTAAGTTTAATTATATGAAACCATGACATACAAGAAAAAAACCCTCAAAAAACTTCAATCAAAGTGGAACGGACTCCCTCCCAACAAGGAAGCCACAGCTTTAGCAAACATCGAGTGGGCAGTGTGTCACAAGTGCCTGGAGGTCAGTACATGGACAGGGACCCAAGAGCAGATTCAAGCACAGGAAACAGTGATAAGGTTTTCACAAGTTCTAAACACAAGAATAAATACCGAAGGAGGGATACTTGGCAGGGCGTCAAATATGGCAAAACTGTGAACAGAGGGCTGGAGTTCCCCAGCCTGACTTGGGACACGTGGAATATGGGATTTATGCGCATGAATGCAGGGAGCCTTAACTTTATTGCCGTTCGGCTGATGATGGCCTTGATTTCATAGGGACCAATGCTGCGTGGGGCCTGCTTGCGGGAGGTATTTGCCATAGCTTTTGCCCCGGAGTATACCTGGGAGCCGGAGTTCTCAATCGATCTGCATTGTGCGTGGTCAATCGAGAACCTTGAGCAGCACTTCCTGAGTCCAAGTCGAGATGTCATGCCAATGTAGATATTGGACTCATGGAATGGCGAGCTCCACCTCCGGCTGCAAAAAGAGGTTCATCAAGCAGAGCACAGTGGATAGTTTCCTCCACGTCCCAGGAAATTAAACCGCTCCTGTACTGGAGGCATAAACCTCTACTATGAACACAGGTGAACACCTGCATTCATCTGTATTAGCGAATGCAGGTGAATGCAGTTTTGGCCTGTTGTGTACAGGTGAAGGGTATCTTGGTGAGGTGAGTGAGTGGTTCTGCTACCTGACTGTAATTCCAGATAAAGCAGCAGTAAAAATTGACGAATCTGAGAACGTTTTTTTTTTGAGATGTGGGAGTGAGACATTCCCTAACAGCTTGGACTTTTGCTGGGTCGGTCTTCACCTGCCCTCCTGCCAGGATGTAACCAAGAAAAGTGACTGAAGATGAATGAAACTCACCTTTCTCCGCTTTGACGTATAACCGGTTTCGAGAAGGCGCTTCAGCACAGATTTGATCTGGACCAGATGTTCCTCCAGAGTCTTGGAAAAGGTTAGGATGTCGTCTAAATACACAAACACAAAAACGTTCAAGAAGTTTCTCAGGACCTCATTAACTAATGTTTGGTAAACTGTGGGAATTTTAGTGAGACCAAACGGCATGACCAGATACTTTGAGTGACCAAAGGGGGACCAGATGATAGTCATTGTGTAGATTTAACTTAGAAAA